CACCTTCCACCCGAGAGCATGAGTGATTTTCCCCCATTCTGTGTATCTTTTATGCTATGCAATAGAGTAAACGCAGGCCATGTCTAACTACAATTTGGATATGGGATTTGTAAACATTCTTCAAACTTTTTGGCTCACAAATTACTAAAAAAAAAGTCCAGCGAGTTATAAATATATGTTCTTCCCTTCATAACATTTTTGAGGAATGGCCTAGGAACAACTTGTGCCAGGTTGTCCACACACCTACTGAAATTTCACTGGGTGACTGCTCTCCTTTGTCATTTTAAATATACCCACTGGCAACTGTAATCTTTCATCCTGATGAGACCCTTCCTGATGGCTCTCTTACAGCATTAACACTGAGCTTCAGAATGAGCTCATCCTGCTGAAACTCGTTTTGGGCCCAAGGTTCAATAGTTGCCCAACTTCTTCTGCCGAAGCACCACCTGATATCCAACAATGGCTTGCATCTCTCTTCCCATTTTATACCTCAGCTTCTATAGCCCTCATATTCCAGAACCAGTACCTGCATTTCTGATACCTTCCCCATGTCACTAGCTCTTTTATTTAGCCTCGTTCAACCTCTGCTTTCTAGCCCTTGCAAGAAGCCATTTTTTCACGTTGGCTCTAAGGTCTCACTCATGGCCTCGTTAGGCCCTGAGGCCTCTGAATATATGAAAGAGTCCAGACCTCACTCTAAGCCTGAGGCTGCATTTGAACTTCAGGGTGCGTATATGGGGATGAAAGAGGCAGTATATTTAGTATAAAAGACTCAAGGAAGAACAGGAATTTTGTGTTTGCCTAGAAGCACACTTATTTTCACCATGGCCAAAGCAGGTGCAAAACATGCATCCTGATTATTTACTTGGTTTTCTTTCTTAATCCCAATATCAGTGAAGGGGAGCACAATTTGCACCCCAAAATGTATCTCATTGTAACTAGAGGTAGGTCTTTACATACAGGAAGGGGATCACATTGACTTCAATCCATACTACAGAGCAAATGACTGATATGCACTCACCTTCCCAAAGCAAGGGTTGCTCTCAGGGAGATAATGGGTGCCTAGAGGGAGAGAACACAATGGAAGGGAAATTGCAATTTACAAGCAGGTGAACTTTATTCTCGTGTGTGTGTGTGTGTGTGTGTGTGTGTGTGTGTGTGTGTGTGTGTTTCTTTTGTTTTGCTCAACTGTGGAAAGTAAGGAGCACTCTGACCTTTTATCCCTAAGTATTTATTTCAGTATGTATTTCCTAAGAACAAGGGCACTCTTCTACATAATCCCAATGCCATTATCATACCTAATGAAATTAACAATAATTCCTTAATCCATCTAATAGGCAACTGTAATCAAATTTCCCCCGTTGTCCCAGAAAATGTCTTTTATAGCTTTTTTTTTTAAATCTAGGATCATCAAAGCATATGTATTGCATTTGATTGTTATATTTTTCTTTCCCCCCCCTCCCAGTAACATTGGATAAATTTAGGGTATACAACATAATGATTTGATATAAGTATATATTGGCAAAAGGATTGCTCATGATATTTCTTTAATCTTTTTAAGGTAAAACAATAGCGCCCTTGCATTCTTCTAAACTAATGATATTGACTGCACTGGCCTGGTGGTTCTATTGGTGGGATCCTAGGTTGTGGGTTCCATCCCTGGTCTGGGTGCCTATAGGAGGCAACCGATTGATGTTTCTCTAGCGCATTTCTCTCTCTTCTCTCTCTCTCTATCAAACTCAATGAAAGCATATCCTCAGGTGAGGTTTAAATTTTTTTTAATGATGTTGACTTGTTTTGTTTTGTTTTTAAAATATATTTTATTGATTTTTACAGAGAGGAAGGGAGAGAGATAGAGAGCTAGAAACATCGATGAGAGAGAAAGAAACATCGACCAGCTGCCTCTTGCACACCCCCTACTGGGGATGTGCCCGCGATCAACGCACATGCCCCTGACTGGAATTGAACCGGGGACCCTTCAGTCCGCAGACCCATGCTCTACCACTGAGCCAAACCGGTTTCGGCTGATGTTTACTTGTTTTGATGAATACAAGTGAGTTATATGTGGGGCATATGGGAGGCAGCTAGCTGATCAGTGATTTTTCTCTCATCATTGATGTTTCTATCTCTCTCTCCCTTTCCCTTCCTCTCCAAAGCCAGTAAAAAAAATATTTTTTTTAAAAAAGATTCCGTTGCTCTGGATTATAGTCATTTTATAAGCCAGCTAATAATTGCCTCACATTTCTTCAGAGAAATTATTGGTATTATCCTCATGAGAAAATAAAGCCAATGTTCAATAGTCTCGTCAATTGTTATTAGGTATTAAAATTCTAATTTAAATGCTGACAATATGTCATTTACCCTAGAGATTCATTTAGTTCATTTGGTTTTCTCTTCGCCTCAGTCTTCTCTAGGTAGTGAGCATTAGGATTGTAATGGACATTTAAAAACATTGTTGTTCTACGATTCCTACAGACTTCAGAAGGTAATTATGGACAAATAAGGGCTGAAATACTGGATCCTTAAAAATAAACAAACTGCCCATATTTGAATAAAAGACCGTACCTTTCTGTGGACAAAGGTTTCCTTCCAACTGTGGATGTGGGAGCCAGCTACTTTTACTTGCCAAGAATAGCTTTCAAACATTAATCTTGTTGCAGAGAACATTTTTGACCTTTTCAATGTTTGCATTTAAAAAATGAAGCACAGATGTTTGCAGAAGTGGGAAAGAATTGTCATGAGCCCCAAATTATCACAGGAGTGAATTTGTCACTCTGTGGAAGAATGATGCTTACTAAATATGTAAACGTGGATCTGTTCTCTCTCATTTGTGAAGAGTTGAAATAGGAGACGCATCTGCAAGTCACATAATATTGATCAGTTAGTAAGTAGTTGCTGAACCTCTACTTTGAAATAAGTGGTATGCAGGACAAGGGACCTGGAATATTTTTAGAATTATAGACAGAAGAGAAGAGGAGAAGATACAAGTTTATGACTTCAGGAAACTTATGAGAAAGGTAAAAAAGACATATCCATGGAAATCTGGAAAACAATTCAAGGTAGTGCATAGTAAGCATAAAACAAGAAGAGTCAATAATCCTGTCATAAAATTAAACTGTTTATGAGAAAGAATGGAAATTACTGAGGTCCAGATTGGCTGGCAAAATCTTTATCAAGTTGATACTTGTAAACTGAAATTTGGAAGGTAGGATTCAGATGACTGGAAACTCTGGGACTGGGCATAAAGAAAGGAGGGAGACAGGAAAGGGATGGAGAATTCATTTCTTTTAAATATATTTTTATTGATTTTTTACAGAGAGTAAGGGAGAGAGATAGAGAGCTAGAAACGTCGATGAGAGAGAAACATCGACTAGCTGCCTCCTGCACACCCCCTCCCGGGGATGTGCCCGCAACCAACCTACATGCCCTTGGCCGGAATCGAACCTGGGACCCTTCAGTTCGCAGACCGACGCTCTACCGCTGAGCCAAACCGGTTTCGGCAGGGATGGAGAATTTAGAAACAGGACATAGACTGGATAAAAGAAATTAAACCAGGCCCACTTCAGCTTTCAAGCTATAGTCATGTTCTTGGACAATTCGTGCCCAGTGACTGAACCACACAAGACTGAACCACACTCTTTTGGGTAGCCAGAAGAGTGTGACCTCAGCTAAGCAAGGTGGTGATACAAGGGCCTGGCAATTCTATCAAAGATAGGACTCCTCCACTGGACAATCTTTGCTCCTGAGCTTCCCACTGAACTGGTAAGATTTCCCAGGATGTAGGGGACTCAGAGATTTTCCAGGATGTAGGACTTTCAGTGCTAAAACTGGGAAATTTTCAGGCAAGTGAAGATGGTTGGTCACCTTAACTGGTGTAGACCTTGTCGGGTCTATATCGGGGTCTGACAGCTCCCCCTGCCCAATCCTGTTCCCTTCCCTTTTTCCTTTCACAGGTATTACTCCCCAGAAAACTCTTTGTCCTCCTGACTTCATCTTAGTGTCTGCTTCCAAAACACTTGATCTAAGACAGGGACACGTGTGGCACAGGAATGGACACCAGGGGGGTGAGGGCATGTGTAGGAAGGGTTTTGGGATGGGAATGGGGGGATGATGACAAATATGTGATACCTTATTCAATAAAGTTATTTTAAAAAAAATACTACAAGAGAAGATGAGGCTGAAAGTAGGAGGGCTGGGGAAAGATGACTTTGATAATTATAGCGATGCTCCTATGTATAATGTTTTCGGCAGACCATTCTATATACTTTGAAAAGGAAATATATATATATATATATATATATATATATATATATATATATATATGTAAATACTCAATAACTCAAGGTTCCCTACACTGCATTTGAATATTCAAATTGAAGGCTTTGTAAAAAAAAATTTAAAAAGTCAACCTTATTGTCCCTGTGTCCTTTAAACATGCTTTGTTATTAACTCCTATGATTTAAGAAGAACAATGAAAGAAGCTTTATCTTTCCTTAGAATTAATCTTAAAATCAAGAGAGAATGTGGGCAGAATGTTACTGCTGGAGAAAGGGGAAGGCATCCTTCAGGGCCTGGACTAGAATAAGGCAGCTGAAACCGGTTTGGCTCAGTAGATAGAGCTTCGGCCTGCAGACTGAAAGGTCCCAGGTTCGATTCTGGTCAAGGGCATGTACCTTGGTTGCAGGCACATCCCCAGTAGGAGGTGTGCAGGAGGCAACAGATCGATGTTTCTCTCTCATCGATGTTTCTAGCTCTCTATCCCTCTCTGAAAAAAAATTAATAAAATTTTTTTTAAATTTTTTTAAAGAATAAGGTGAGTGAGGTACTTGGGGTGCCACTCACTGTAGGGTTGTGTACCGAGGGGGCACTTACATGAACCTGAGAGTGAGCACCTCCTTGGATATTGCACCCAAGTACCTCATTTGCCTCACCCTAGTCCTGGCCCTAGTATCTATCATATTAGGCAACTTACACAGAACATTTCCTCTTTCCTGCCCTAGGTACAAAGCCATCGTCCGGCCAATGGATATCCAGGCTTCTCATGCCCTGATGAAGATCTGCCTCAAAGCCGCATTGATCTGGATCATCTCCATGCTCCTGGCCATTCCAGAAGCGGTGTTTTCTGATCTACATCCTTTCCACGAGGAGAGCACCAATCAGACCTTCATCAGCTGTGCCCCATACCCACACTCCAATGAGCTGCACCCCAAAATCCACTCCATGGCTTCCTTTCTGATCTTCTACATCATCCCACTGTCGATTATTTCTGTCTACTACTACTTCATTGCCAAAAATCTGATCCAGAGTGCTTACAATCTGCCTGTGGAAGGGAATATACATGTCAAGAAGCAGGTAGGTACTTAGGAATGATTAATTTCCTCCTTGGAGGTCTGATCCCTTGCATTTCTTTTGGACTCCACAGTACAGTATTGTCATGGTCATGTCACCTGATTCTGTAATTAGAGGAGATGGGTGATCTAGTTTCCAGATGGTAAATGGAAACTCCTAGCCACAGAAGCCCCAGGAATTCGGGTGCCCTTTATAATCTTGTTCTCTTACTATAAGTTAGGGAAGTGTTGAGAACCTGAAGGATTTGTAGTGTGGATTTCTTTTTGAGAAATATCTGAAAAAAGTGTTGTTTTATTGTTTAAAAATATATATATATTCCGGCTCCCAAGGATGTGACTTCTTTAAATTCCAATCACATTGTTTGGATAGGAAGAGGATTTCCACATGGGGGAAAGCAGAGGAGGCAGGAAGATGAGGCTTGTTGAAGAAAAAGAAGTAGTTTGATTAAGACTGGCTCACACTGATTGAAGTTCAAATCCAGATTTTATGACTTACTCTCTCTGAGCCTCAATTCCTTTATGCATGGCATAGAGTAATAACCCCTATATTGTAAGGCTGTTGGAGGATGGCAAAAGAGAGCGTATGTACACCCTGCACTGCTCAGAATGCAGGGTGCCCTCTATATATGTTAGATTCCCTTCCCCATCCGTGTAAACCCTTATAATTTCATCCTTGAGGCAAGAATTGTAGAAATCAAGGGCTCTCGCTTTCTCCTCTTTGTCCGTTCTTGCCTCCCACTCCAAATGTAGATGATGTACTAATGATGGAGAAACATAAAGATGCCCCATCCATTTCAATGTATAGCTGACTTAGTTGGAGGCTCACCCTTTATAGTTTTTTTCTGGAGGAGGGGAAGGCCTTAATTGTAAGAGGAGGGTGACAGTTCTTAGTGAAACTGTCCCCCTACTTGAAAGACCTCTCAATAGCAAACGTATATTGTATCCCAAATTCTTCAATGAGAAAGATGCTTCCCCTTGCAGTAGCAGAGGGAGTAGGGAGCCAAAGGAGATGCTCAGCCCATTTTACTGAAGACACTTAGTATAGTCCATAAATAACTTGATGATGATGATAATATTATAATAATGATAATCCTATCTAATAAAAGAGTAATATGCAAATTTACATCAGTCCAACACACAAGATGGCTGCCCCCATGTGGTCAAAGATAGCTGCCCCCATGTGGACACAAGATCAGATCGCTGCCATGAGATGGCCAGCAGGGGAAAGCAATTGGGAGGAATCAGGTCTGCAAGGGAGGGCAGTTGTGGGTGATCAGGCCAGCAGGGGAGGGCAGTTGGGAGGGACCAGGCCTACAGGGAAGGGCAGTTGGGGGTGATCAGGCCTGTAGGGGAGGGCAGTTAGGGGTGACTAGGCCATCAGAGGAAGAAAGTTGGGAGTGACCAGGCCTGCAGGGAAGGGCAGTTTGGGGGGACCCAGGCCTGCAGGGGAGAGAAGTTGGGAGGACCAGGCCTGAAGAAGAGGGCAGTTAAGGGTGACCAGGCCTGCAGGGGAGGGAAGTTAGAGGCAAACAGGCTGGCAGGATAGCAGTTTAAGCATCAATCAAGCTGGCAGGGAAGTGGTTATGGGGTGATCAGGCTGGCAGGCAGAAGTGGTTAGGGGCAATCAGGAAGGCAGGCAGGCAAGTAGTTGGGAGCCAGCAGTCCTGGATTGTGAGAGGGATGTCCGACTGCCCGTTTAGGCCTGATCCTAATAGGCAGTTGGACATCCCTTGAGGGGTCGCAGGTTGGAGAGGGTGTAGACTGGGCTGAGGGACACCCTTTCCACCCCCCATGCACGAATTTCGTGTACCGGGCCTCTAGTAATAATAATACTAATAGCTAATTATCTTGGTTTGGCCATTGAGGAAGAACAAAGCTAATTGTTTCTTTGAGCATCAAAGAGAATAAGAAATTTTTAACTGTGGAGAAAGACATGAAGTCATATGACTGATAAACTGTACTAATGCCCTCCTGAGAAAAAGCAGAGCATTTACTAAAATTTCAGTATGTAATCCATCCAAGCATATAATCAACTTTGGTTAAAAATCTGTTCTTAGTGGCATGGTCTAACTGTATTCTACTTCATGGATTTCTGCTTCCTGACATTTCCATTTCTGTGTTTCTGACTTTTTCTTTTTCTGTCTGTTTCTGTGGCTTTTCTCTGATTTATCTGATTCGCTCTTGTCCCCTTTCTCCTATTAAACTCTTTTTCCGTGACCTCATGAGCTTGCTTCTTTCCCTAATTTTATTTCCCTGTCTTTTTTTCTCTGAATCTCTGTTTCTCTACAATCCTCCCACACTGTTTCTTGGTCCCTTTGTCCTCTCTGTGTGTGACTGTCTCCTCAGATTGAATCCCGGAAGCGCCTTGCCAAGACAGTGCTAGTGTTTGTGGCCCTCTTTGCCTTCTGCTGGCTCCCCAACCATGTCATCTACCTGTACCGCTCCTATCACTACTCCAAGGTGGACACCTCCATGCTCCACTTTGTCACCAGTATCTGCGCCCGCCTCCTGGCCTTCACCAACTCCTGTGTCAACCCTTTTGCCCTCTACCTGCTGAGCAAGAGTTTCAGAAAGCAGTTCAACACCCAGCTCCTCTGTTGCCAGCCTGGCCTATTAACCCGATCTCACAGCACCGGCAGAAGTACCACCTGCATGACCTCTCTCAAGAGTGCCAATCCCTCTGCAGCCACCTTCAGCCTTATCAATGGAAACATCTGTCATGAGGGGTATGTCTAGACTGACCCTTGACCCCGACCGGCTGGGGCCCCCTAGTTTTGCTCTGTCACTGGTAAGGAACCCTCACATCTGTTGTTATCTCTGTACCCTCTAAAGACCCTTTGTAAGGCTCAGGAGTGATACAGGCAGGTTGGGGAGAGGCCTAACTGGGTCACTGTTATGCTGAAAAGCCCATCAAGGCATACCTTTTCCATTTCAATTTGTGAATACTTCTTCTGCTGTAGAGCAAACTTTCCTTTTTTTGAGAAAAGATACCAAATAGAAAATTATTATTTTAAGCATCAAACTCTGATATACAGGTGTGGCTAATTAAGTCATAGAAATTATATGAAGAACCAAATTTATATAGCAGAGCAATTATACATTGACTGTCCACTTCGTGGAAGACTTCACCTTGTCATTCCTTTAAGCAGGAGCTAGTGCTTTAAAAATATGATTTGAGACATATTCCAGGAATAATTATAACCACAAAGCAAGAAAAAAATATGAAAACTTGGCCCTATGAAAGAGTTCCATATATGAATAACAGTTCCCAAATTGATAACACTAGGAACCGGTTCATACAAATTTAAGCATTGGACATTACTGAGGACATAGGGGAAACACTTACGGCAAACACACAACCAAACACATAGGAACATGTAAAGATCCATGTGTGGCTGTGGAGTAATATCTCACATTCTGAATTCTAAATTGATGCAAGTTCTTTTTGTTGTCCAATTGTAATCAGTTCCACCATAGAAGAGAAATCCTTTTGAGGTGGGAGGAATTAATCATCTGTCAATTCATCAAACATTATAAGTGCATAAACTATAGTGTTTATTTTTGGTATATAGGGTTTTCAGTCAAATGTACTTACTTAGATTATATAGAAGCAGTAGCTTCATAGGAGAAAAAGGGATCATATCTGAGTGAAAGTAGAAACATGTTTACATTTAACAAGTGATTCACCTGTAGTCTGTGGAGAGAAATCAATACACGTTCAGTAATATTTATTTCTACCAGAATATGTACAACAAAGTTACAGAGGACCTAGCTTTAAGAACTGATTAAAAACAGCTACATTATATATATTGTTTCTACGTAAGAGTATTCACAAAACAGCCCATGTGCATAAAAATAGTGGCTTTAGATATTTCTCTTTTTCTAAATGAGTAAAATGATTTGACCATCTTACTCTAGAAATCTAAATCAAGTTTTTTTTTATTCAAAGACAGACCAATTTGAAGATTGCAAACATGCTAATGATAAATCCAAATTCTGCAAATGTGCCCTAATGTATATCCTTTACATCCCAAGATCATTTAGTTCTAATTTTCTCCACCCAGGTGAGATAGAACAATCAGCTCTCTTTTGCACATGACACGTATTAAAAGAGTCTTGTCTCTTGATATAAGGAAGCACTCACTGTCTGCAGACCTATAGAAGCTAGGACCAAGACAGTTGTAAAGATGTGTGTTTACAGTTATATTAGCTGGAGTAAAATTGCTTCACTTCTGTTTGCTGCATGAACTTTTTACACTGGACATGCCTGCTTTCCTGGTAGTCCACAATTACACTGAACAATTTCAAAATCAAGACAGGTAGTGTAGCTGAAAGAACCAACATTTTTAGCTTGACATTCCAATTTTGTCTCTAGTTAAATGACCTTAGCTATCAATATCTCTTCTCTAGACTCATTTTTTCATCTCTAGAATGAGAGGACAGTGTTAAGTTCCCTTCTATTGCTAAAAGTCTCTGAATCTCATTGTTTCTAGTTCTGTGTCTAAAGTATTTATGGAACCCACATGCTCACAATTTCCACACTTCTGCTACCCTTGGCAAATCCTTGAACTGCCACTCCACATTCATGTTCACGTTCATGAAATGAAAGGAGACTCACTGTTTTATGAGTTTCAGGGACTCCTTGGGATTATTTGTATGAATGATGTCCCGTTAATGAGAGCTGGATGAGATATAAGAAAACAAATTGCTCAATCTCCTCATTATACAAAGGGCACTCTTCCTGTTCAGCCTTCAATCTCCATGCACCTGCTACCTTGAACCACTGCTCCACAATTTTACCCTTGGCTTTCTTCAAAACTCTTGAGTGTACGTGACTTCATTCCTAGGTAGTTGTTAAGGAGGCATTCTGGGTGCCTAACATAACTTGTTTAAGTGTCTCTGATCTACCTGCTCCCAAAGACATTTTGGAAATAGGATTCATCTTAATGTCTCCCTTAGTTTCTCTCATGGCATGGATTGTGCCTGGACTCCTCCCAGCTTTTGGCCAGACAGTGAAGAGAATGGAGTCTATGTTTAGTTGTGTGTCTTTAGGCAATCCTATAATGTCTTTGAGATTTAAAGCATTGGAGGAGGCCTTTGCGAGCCAGTGACCTAAAACTGGAAAAACTATTGTATGAATCAACTGATAGATTGACTCAAAGCTAATTGGGATGGACTCAATCGGACCCTTCTCTAGGGAAGTCAAATTTTTTATTTCACTTCAAGAACCTACAATCACAGTGAGATAGACCCACACTCTCATGTAGTATCACCTCTCTCCTAGGGTGGAGTGTGGCAGAGGCTTGGAACTAAGACATTTCACGCCTGGCTTCCAAAGATAATCACATTTAGCGCTTATGTCGTTGGCAAGGAAAAAAAATCAATTTTTGCTGTGGAAAACCATCTGTGTTTATTCAATTGACAGACACTACCTTTCAATCTATCTTAAATTGAGCCTCCCTAAGGCAGGCAGCTCAATAGTGATAGATTAAGCAATAAACAAAGCAGTCTTCCCACCAATGGCTGTTGCTGGCAAGGAAGGCACAGCGGCTGGCAGGAGCGATATTCCTCAGCAAGATGATCCTCCCAGCTAGGTGAAGACAAGGCTCCTCCCTGTTGTTGATTTGATGATTCCCCATAAATGGGGATGACTAAACCCTGTTGTTCTGGCTGCGCTCAATCCCCCACTGAACCTGGCCTTCTGCCTCATTAGCAAGTCCTGGATTTCCCGCTTTACCCTATAAACAATTTGGTGTTATCCTGAAGAGTGAAGAACATGTAGGTAAATAAACAATTTAGAGGCTGCTCAAATGAGCCAAGTCAGCTTGTTATGAAAGTGCACATTGAACAAAAATAAATGAACTTGTCCATGGGGCACGGACACACTTAAGTTATAAAGTTTTTTGTTTATGCCAAAAGTAGCAGTCAGTCATTGGTTCCAAAGTCGATTCATGCACCAAATGGCTTCCGTAATAGGGATTAGCTTTGTTTGGGGACTGCGTGTTGAATGACATCCTCAATTTGTGGATTAAAAAATGGTTAAATCATCTTTCTCAGAAGCCAGATAGAGATGATCACCCTAAGAACCTGACTATCTGAGAGTAGAATGAATAGTATGCATTTGTGTTGTGATGAGTTGGAAAGGATGCAAACTTGCTTGTCATTTGGGCCCTTCACATCCATACCAGGAGTTAGCCACTGTTAGAGAGTAGCTTAGAATTAACCCTGGGTTCCTGGGAGGAACTGAACAGATTTTGCACATTTGTCTAATTTTTTGCTAAATGGATTAACAGCTGACAAGGGAATTATTTACTCTCCTGGGACCAGGCTTTGTATGAGCTATTCAATGAAACCAAGCCCTAGGAAGCTCTACTTTATTCTGTATTTGGATGGTCATTCCTCTCAGCCCTCACCTGGATGTATACTCTGGGCATACTACCGTGTTTCCCCGAAAATAAGACATCCTCCGAAAATAAGACCTAGCGCATGGAAAGATAAGACATCCCCTGAAAATAAGACCTAACGCAACTTTGGGAGAAAAATTAATATAAGACACTGTCTTATTTTCGGGGAAACAGGGTAGTATTCCAGTTGAACATATCTAGAGCAATCAACAACTAGCACACCAAGAAGAGACTTTTCTCTTGTGAAATTTCATGTTAAAAATGCAGTTACTGGAATTTATCTAAATTTTTAAAAAGTTTAACAACCCCTTGGTTAAAATATTACATGTCCACAATTAATTCAAAAAATACTTTGCATTTAACTAGTGTTCGTGGCCTGTACAGCACTTTTCTACTCATTGCCTCATGTAATCCAGGCCTGCCCTGCTGATCAAAGAGCTGCTTTACATCATTGATCATGGAAATTGGCAAATGACATTTACTAGTGACCATCTACTATTAGATTAAAAGTCCTATCAAATTATAAGGCTGAAACATGTGAAACTGCAGATATTGAGCTACATGTGACCTACAGAAAGGTGATTTCATATGATTCAACTTAATCTGATTGTATTCATTCTCGTGGCTCCTTCTGTGATAGTGAAGGACAGAACTAATCATTGCTTTTCCCAGCTACAGGATAGTTTGTCATCCCCAAAGCAAGCCTGTTTAACTTGGCACAAAGGGGTGAACGGTGTCCTTGTTGGTTGCCCCAAGAGAGGCATATTAGTTGGAACAGCATTCTGCGTCACAATGAAGTAGAAGGGTAAGATAAGAAGGGTGGAGTCCTTGGAAGCAAAAACACAAGCTTCAAAACATATGGCATTGTCTGAAACCCGAATGGCATTCTGTGGCTCTAGAGATGCTATTATAAAAGAAAGGAGCTCAGTTTTGCCAAGCACCAATGACAAGCCAAACGCAGTACTAAGCACATTGCTATTCGTCCTCCCAAGTACCTTGAAGAGTATTCAGATGATGAAGCTCAGGGAGGTCACTTGATGATCTCAAGGCATAGCTGAATAGCAGAGCATTACTGTGGACCTTAAGTCCATTCCGTTACTCAGCATTGCTTCCCAAATCCAGCCCGTGTGAGCAATTAAGTTCACAATACCTAACAGTCCCATTTCCTACTCTAGATTTTGTCATAAGGCTTGAACTGGTGATAAAGTCAAAGAATATATACAAAGGGCATAAAAGATGTCTCTAAGCATCTAAGTTAAGCAGTCACTGAAGACAGAGGCTGAAATGAGGCATGAAGTATGTGGACAAGGAAATCCCTTAGCTCAGTTGCCT